TAGCCAAATGTTCAGCTGATAGAGACTATGGATAAGTTCAGCTACTCCAACACACAGCAGTGATAATTCAGAAATTTGTTTAATAAATTCCAGTTCAGAATCATACAAATGGTGATTCTGTTCCAGTGTATATGACTACCTTTTCTGGACCAGATAAATGTTTGTGATAGTGATGTACCTTGTTTCTTCCTTATTAACATGCCACTAAATAGCATCAGTGCCCTGATTTTGGAAAAAAATACAGAGGAGCAGCTCTTTTGCTACAGCAGAACACTGTCAGTATTCTTGGGATAAAAGTTCTTCAAACCATGAAAAAATAGTATTGGCCTCAGGGCATGAAGAAGGAGACACATGTTCTGGGCCCTTTGGCATCTCTTTTGCTTGTATGAAGTGGACACCTAATTAATTCCCCTGTCTGAGCTTCCATGAGCTTTGGAGGATATTAGGATAGTATTACCTTTTTTTTTTTTTTTTTTGGCATGTGGTAACCTCATGCAAGTCTCTTATTTGAAGGTAAAGCAAATTTACCATGATTTTGCTCTTCATTCAAGAAAAAGATTAGCTATTAATTTTCAAGATTAGTATAAGATGGAGTTTCAAATAAAATTAATTATTTTTTTACTTTTCTAGCAGTGTTTCATATCTCCATTCTCCTGTTCTTTTCTGTCAATTAAACAAAGTTTTCCAATCCAGCCCTTGCCTGGAATATTTTTGCAAAGCCTGCAGCTTCTGATTCTGTTTTACTGTGTGCACATGCAAGCACTTGGCTAAGTATTGCTTGCCAAGTGAAATTTAAGTATTCATGGCATTTGTCCACTTTCAGTTGCCCCTTTCTAACTGCTCCTCTTGCAAACACTGGGACTTAATCAAAAGCCTCATGGCTTGGAAGAGGTAAGAGACTTTGCTTCGTGGGTGGGGAGGCACTGGAACAGGTTGCCCAGAGCAGCAGTGGTTGCCCTGTCCCTGGGAGTGTTCAAGGCCAGGTCGGATGAAACTCTGAGCAACCTGGTCTGTGACAGGTATCGCTGTCAATGGCATGGGAGGTGGAACAAAATAGTCTTTAACGTCCCCTTTAACCTAGGCCATTCGATGATCCTATCACTCTTTCCTCTTTCCTCACAGCTTCTTATTTTAAAACTCTTAATCCTATGCTGAATCAAGACCAAGCTCAGCACTCTCAGACCTTCTCAAGTGAAGGGCTTCATTTGAAACAGGTTGAAACAGGCTGAAATGTTTTTACTAAAAGCACATCAGTGTTTGTGCAGTTAAATTGTTCCTAGAATGGTGGTTTTACCCTTGCAGGGTGTCCTTGCTCACCCTGAGCTTTTGCTGTGAAAGCTGATAGCACATCAGCTGCTCGGCATTTGTGGATAAGCAAGAACACACCTGGCCTCGCTAATGACTACTCAGCACCACTTAAGGGCTGATCAGAAGTGAAGACTCTATTTACAAAGTTAAAATCACACTAGTCTGAAACACAGCATACAATTGCAATGAAATCTTAGTCACAGAGCAATGCTCAGCATATTTTAGGATCCCAGCACCAAAAGTGATATCCATGATAGTTTGCTTACGCACCACTGGCACCTGAAGTGCCAAGACTCTTTAGCTATCCATGACCTTCAAGATTTCTATGTATCTTTCTCTCTCCCTTCTGTTTTCTGTGATGGCATCTATCTGATCACTGAGAAACCCAGTAGCTACTGAAACCTCTTTTGGCAAAGAGATTAGGAAGTGGTAGTGCTGAACATGAATCTCCTCTCAGTATGCTTGGCAATGTGTTAGTGGAATTAGGATCAAAGTATTTTCTTTCCCTTTGGGAAGCAACCATATTGCTAACATGCTTTCAATGAGACAAGAAGTTCAGCCCCTGCAGGAATGATTTCTGGTGGTCATTAAGTACAATCAGACATAAAGCCAGGCTGATTTGAGGGTGTAGGCCATCCTTCAGTTAAGGCAGCCTTTGTGGACTACAATGTCAAATACATGACAGAGAAATGAAACTGCTTAAAATGACTGGAGTTTTTTTTCTCTCCCTGATTTGAACACTTTAGTGTTAGTAAAAAATAAAAGATTATTGTCTCTAGTTACAGTTTTATATCTGACTATTTTTTTTATATATCTGACTTTTTTTGCAGCTGGAAATTTAAAATGTTTCTAAAATTTATCTTGACAAGCTAACACAAAATGTTATATTTTCCTTTCACCTAAGATTTATTTAATCTTTTTCAGGAAAATTGTGAAAAAAATATTACTATATAAAAAAAGCATTTTGGAAAACCAAATACTTTTCAATTTAAAGTTTCAGTTTCTGCAGAAACAGTTTGATTAATTTACAGGAACCTTAAGCTCCTCCTAACTATAACAGCTAATTAATCTTGGAATAAATATAGCTTGGACACTGTATAGTAGAGATGAGGCACAGGTATTAATTATTAATAGTCAATGCTGTAAGGCTGAAAGATAAGTACTCAGGGGAAAATCTTTCCAAAAACTCAAATTGAAATATGCAAACAAATATAGGGGTGGCTATTTCCAGAAGTATTAGCAATGACTAGGTGTTTATCTTCCCCTGACAGTCAGAAAGCATTAAGCACCTAATTGCTGTGTCTCTGAAAGTCTCCATTATATTATAAAGGAACTCAGTTTTCTGGAAGATTCAGCTGAATTGTGTACACGTTTGCAGTCTTCCACCCACAGAAGGTCACAACAGAAATCTGAGCTTGTAGAAACTGCCTGCCAGTTGCATGACCTCCACGCAAAAGCCTAGATTGCTTAATTGCTTGGTGTCTTTTCAATCTGTTTTTAACCCATGAAGGTCAGGTCTTAGTGAAATATATTTGATTTTGGATGTGTTAGGTAAATCTGCATTCCTGGGTGTTTGGGGAATTTCTTCCATGTTTCCCCTTCTTCATTATTCACATGGTTGGTATAAGGGTTTCGTATGTGCAAATTGGCTTTTTTTACCTCTGATTTTTTTTTTACAATAGGTAAAGGTTTCAAGCAGTTCTGAATGCAGATGTGGTCTGTGCTGATATTTCAGCTCAATATTTCAAAAAGAAATATCAAGAAAATTGTGTTGCATTTCTGCTAGATAAAAATAGTGAATACTCTTAACTTTCAGTTTCCTGAGAGCAGTACAGCGTGGCTCACTGTCCAAGTCCCCATTTGCTGTCTGAATCTTCATCTAGGCGTGATCCTGGTGGATGTGGGGTGGGTCTGTGAAGAGGTTAAGGAAAGCACATTTGTATATCTTTGTGTCTTTACTGGTTTCCTATCTGCAAACTCATTCTGGATTATGTATCTTTAAACCACTGTGGACTGTATAAGATTTCATAAATCAGATTGTCTTTACCTTTTTATGAGCAACTCTCAGCTCCCATTATTCAGAGTGAAACATATAAATAATTTATATGTATGATCTAAAAAAAGAATGAAATGAGCTAGATATTTCTGGTAAGTCAGTGAAACTACCACTGCTGATTCAATTATATTTCTTTCATCTTTGCCCCTAAAAGGAGAGATACTGGGAAAACGGAGTAGGTAAAGAAATATTGGAGGGCTATTGTTTTATTGTGGCTGTCGTTTGAAGTTTGAGGTTATTGGGTTTTTGTTTTGCTGCACCAGGGTTCTATATCAGTCTCTCAGTGATAAGTCAACTTCAAATAGAAATGTGCTGCAGAGCTTATCTCCAGTACCACTGTAAACTATACGTGTGTGAGTTTCTGAGCAACCATAGCATGTAAACAGCAGATATTTGAAAATTTTCTTTCAAGGTAATTGTTTTGTCAAAAGTTCTCTTGCAGAAAACTAATTTACAGTTGTCTTGACTTCATCTGAATTCTTGAGATGTCATAATTTTTAAAGCAATAATTTTATGTCAGTTATTAACAACTCCTACAAAATATCTACCCCTGGTCTTTATCTGTAGTAGAATTACTAAAGGTTATGAGGAGAAACGATAGCCCACGTAGGATATTTTAAGTATTACATATGGCTTGATAAATGCTAGGATTTCTTTTTGCAGTTCCCCAAATGGTTTTAGAGCTAGAATGAAAGTGTTAAAAATGAAACACGAGGCCTTCCAGTGTTGAGAATGCTTATTAAAACTGAATGCTGTGCTTTTTGACCAGCTGCTTCCACAGCACAAATCTCATTTTACTGGAGATTTTTGCTTACATGAAAAACACTAATACGAAAGCTGCTGGCTGTGGTCAGAAGTGGCACTTGAATATCAGCATGTTCTTTTGTCTGACAAAACATCCTCCTGAGCAGGTCAGCTGGTGCTAGCAGGGGATGTGCTAAGGCTCTTAACTAAAATGTGAGCCTAACTTTTGGTTACAGACGTACCTGAGTTTATTTTCTAAGAGAATAAAAATGAAAAATCTTCCTGCCAAAAGCAATTTTTCCTGTAAAGTTATGCACCTAGTGATGAGAAGCCGTATCTCTCTGCTGTATATTAGCTGTCTGTATGGTGAGTATTTCCCGGAAAAGTGCAATCTTTTTCCCTTGAGATTTTTAGTTATTGCTAGAAGAGAACACTAGCATGTGTTCTGTGTTTTCTGACTGCGGATATAGTACTTAAACATTCTTCAATTTTAAGAAACGTAGAAGACAATACTAATGAAGAGACACTGGAGCACTAGTGCAGACTAGTTTCTGAATAGTCTGTCCTACTGTCTGATACGATCATTCTTCTGGAAAAAAAATGGCTGAAAGTATGATACTAAATGTCCACTTCAAGCTGAAGACTACAGCCTGTCCCTTTTAAATGGGTCTTTGAAATATCTATTTTATTTCTATCTCAATACATCTATTTTACAGGCACTGGTGATATCAAGTATGCTTATACAATTCCAGTATGGAGGTGCTTTTCTCATTTATGTATGTCTCAGTGAAACAAAATTCCTACTTCTCATTTTTGGTACTGATACATTTACAAGGGTATTTTTGTCTGCTGTGATCCATATTAACCTCTGCTCTCTGCTTTGTCTTTCCAGCACTGGCTTGAGCCCAACAAGTCCATCTTCAAGCAAATGAAATGTAAGTCTTGAAAGCTCATGTTTCTAAACTGATTTTTAAATAACTGGAGGTGTTCTTGTGTTTCCATGCAGTAATTTAGAGTAAGCTTAATTTGTTTCTCAGTGTAAACAAGTCTTTCTTGTTAGCACAGGAAGGAGTTCTAAAAATTCCATGCTATCCTGATCTTACCATCTCACAGTGCTCTGCACATCAAAAGCTATTATTTTCTGCTCATGGCTACAGCCAGAGGCCAGCAGGCATGAGGTGGCAGATCTGGTCAGAAGACCTGTATGTTCCAGCTCTCATTTTCAGTCAGATACAATCAGCCACTGGGAGATGGTAATAAAAATGAAGTGTGGCAATTGCTTCTAGGTCTTTCCTAGTTTTCCTTTCTGCTGCCCCTTGCTTCCTGAAAATGCCAAGCATTGGCTTGAGTTCATTTTTACTGTCCAGCAAACTCAAGTATTGTGGGCTAAGTGGTGATCTTTCTGCCACAGGTGGGGCGAACTTAAGATCAGTATTTTAAAAAGTGTCTTTAAAACAGGAATGTATTACTTTAATTATCTTTTTGAAACATCACTGTCTGACCCATGGTTTCCATTAAATAGTCCAACTGTGAAGACCTCTTCAGGAAACAGAACTGCTTTGGTACTCAGCTTATATTCAGAACAGATGACAGTTTATTTGGCAGCTCTGGAGAATTGATGTGGTGCATTAGAAGTTGTGTCTTAGTCATTATCTGCCCATCTATCTGTCTATTAATCACTCTATCACTCTATCTATCTATCTATCTATCTATCTATCTATCTATCTATCTATCTATCTGCCCACCTATCTACCTACCTTATGAAATGAAGGAGAATTTTATCCCCATATTGCTTGTATATAGTTTTCTGTTTTAAGCATAAATACAAGGAGTCTTGTGTGGGAGATAATGTATTTGCTTTAAAATGTGGTGAGGCTTAAGAGGTTGTCTAATACACAAAACCAGTTAATACTGGATGTTGACTGCACTATATGGAATACTTCAAGGAATTTTTCCATTAATGCAGTCATACTGCAATATATGTATACGTGTATATATATGCCAACACACTGGCATATACTAACATCTGGCATATTCAGTGTCAACTTCTATATCTAGTGTTTAGCTAGCTGGAGTACTATCCAGTAATGATTAAGCTCAAAAATGTCAAATTAGAACTAAGTTGTGGTCCTCAGCAATGCTAGTAAAGGAAGAAAAGAGGGAAGAACAGAGGAATTGTAATAATTGTAAACCATCTTAATCCCTTGCTTCCTTCCCATTTGTTATCAAAAGTAGAACAGTTTCCTGAATGTATCCTATGGCCTGTGTTTGTGTCACTGTTTTTACCCAAAAAAGGATCTTGTGCACTTTACATAGCAACACATGCAGGGGCTCTGCCAGCAGATGTTCTGAGAGTGTTTTGACTTACTCAGAACAACCTTTTCTGTGTACAGATGTAGCCTAGATGTGATAGATGGTGGTCCATGAATTTGATTTGATGGCCTCATCAGAGGATTTCTGTAGCATTTGTGATAGAATCCTAATGAAAACTCCAAAAATAAATGAATACATAGCAAAAAAGCAAAACAAATGCAGCTAGCATTAGGTTGTTTATCATGGTGAAAAAGTCTTAAGACAACAGCCAAAGAGAATGAGATTCTAACAAAGGATTTTTGTTACCAGCCTTAGATTTAGGGCACAGAAGTTGAATTAACTGTATGATTATGTTTAAAATTCCTAGTATAAGTTAACTTTCTTTTGTGTCACAGAAGAAGGACTTTAGTTGCTACAATAACCCTTTAAGAAAAAAAAATGAAGTTCTGTATATATATTTTGTACATGTGTAGAATCCATGAAGATTATACTTCCACGGGTTTCAAGGATATTGTCGTATTAATTTGGCATCAAGAACCTTTTGATTTATTTTTCTAAAAATAGGCTATATTTATGAAGAAAACCAAACAATTTCTAAGGGAACAAGGTTAACTCATATTTGATCTAAAAGTATTCAGTTTACTATGAAAAGCTTTAGACTCAGAAGAAGAAATTCTTGATACTCATTTGCAAAACATCCCAGTCTCGGGTGGCACAAGTGAGGACTGAAATTAGTAGAAGGTAGGAAGTCTAAAAACTGAAGCAATGAAGTGACTGGTTAATAGCACATATGGTATGTATGCATAGCTTCTGGGAGAAATGATGGTAGAAAGCTATTCCCAGTGACTGTACTAGATGGATGTTTCCTTTTATTTCTTTGCATTAAGAAATTCAGGAAACAATGAATAATTTTCTTTGATAAACTAATGACTCAAACAGTTCTAAATTCAGTTGAATGCTTAAATTTACACAGAATTGTGAAGCACTTGCATATGTGCAGGGAAATTTCAATGCTGTGTTCTTGAGTGGGGAGCTTCCTTTTCCTTCAGCACAGCAGCATGTTTTTCAGTCTGTTTATTCATGCAGCTCAACATTGACAAATATTTGGAGCAGAAAAAGTTTGACTAGAAGAAGTATTCTAGTATACATTTTAGTAGGTACTAGCTTTCATGGGCCTCAGCAGTACATTAATCATTCAGGCATAATCTCTTTATATAGTCAAGTTGTACTGAACTCACAATCTGGCAACAATACAGTTGTGTCTTTGGAACAGAATGTTGTATCTTTGACGCTCTGAAGGGTCCATAGGATCTTGTGACATGTGCTACAATTTTAATTTCTTTGGCTTTGGAAAAAATGGCTTTAAGTTCGTATTTAGTAACATTGGTATATGACAGAAAGAATCTTCTAAAATGGTATATATTTTATCTTATCATATATGAAACTATATTTAAATATGTACTAGTGCCACACAAAAAGAATGAAGGCATGGTATCTTTTTTGTCTCACCATCTACCTTTGTATTTGCCATTGTCATTGTAATGGTTGTGTTTTAACATGGTGTGTGAGGCCTAGGTCTGTGCCTCAGCCATTTTTATCACTAATTTTGCATGAGAGGGAAGAATTTAGTTTCTGAGAAATATCCTGAACCACTGCCAGGGTTGTTTTTACAGATTCAAGTCAACTGTTGAGCCATGATCAGCAGTTGCAAGCAGTATGTTTCCAATATTGTGATGGAAAAATCTTTGGAAGGTTGCCTAAGGAAGCTGTATCTTTGTAGTCCAGAATACAGAAGTTCTGAAATAAATTTTTCTATTATTTTGCATGTTTTTGTGTATAGTGTTATTCTCTCCTAAATGCTGGCAGTAAAGTTCTCTACTTGGCAATCTTATATTTTATGTTGTTTAAAAGCTTGCATTTTCTCTCTGGGAATGTTATGGTGTACACACCAGTCACATCAGCACTAATGTTTAAGTAAAGAAGAGTTTTCCCATCCATCTCCTCTCTTGCTGTTTTTTGAATACTTCTAAAGCTTATTCTGCATAGTAATATGCAGCTCTCCTGAAACCTGCTTGGTGGGAAATATCCAAATATGTGGATTTTGTGCTTGACGACAGTGGAACACAATAATTTCTGTTGCTCTAATGTGCAGGAGTTCTAAATTTCCATGTTTTTCTTACTGCCTCGCATAACTGAAAGAGTGTAGGTTTAGATTACCTATCAGGGAAAAATTCTTGACTGTGAGGGTGGTGGGGCACTGGAACATGTTGCCCAGGGAGCTAGTGGGTGTCCTGTCCTTGAAGGTGCTCGAGGCCAGGTTGGAATCTGATCTAATGCAAGCTGCTCCTGCCCAGGAGGGTTGGAACTAGATGATCTTTAAGGTCTCTTCAAACCCAAACCACTCTATGATTCTGTGATCTAAAGGAGTAATGCTAAAAGGATGTTCTCCTGTGTCAGGTCATGGAATTTTTCAATTAATTTCCGTAATCTCTAATGCTTTCCTAAAACCGGAAAGGAGGTGGAATGAACCAAGGGATCTCAGTACAAATATAAGGAAAAGTTTAATCAAATATGAGATTCATAAATACATGTACAATGAGAGTGGGAGTTTTTTGTGATCCTTTAGGCACTAATCTGAATGCTGTGTATTCTATGATCCTCATGAAGATTTAATAACAGCATTTTAAGCTTTATTATAAACACCTGACAAAAATCCACCTCGCCCTGTGTTGTTTTGTAACTATCAAGTGCAATATGTGAGACCTTTAATTTGAGATTTATGATAGATCAAGTATCCCTTATACATAAAAACACTGAGTAATGTTTTTAAGATGCTGCCTGTCTTAAAAATACTCAGCGAGGAGTATGGATAAACAGCTGATTCATCTGGAAAGGGAACAGGTATATGGAAACAACTGCATATGTCTTAATGGCTCCCCAGAAGTGCTTCTGCAGAACTCGTGAACATGAAGACTATTTGAGTGTAATATTTTTTCTTGCTTGTTTGTTTGTTTCTTACATTTCATTTACTTTTTTAGGATACTGTAGCTCAGAGAATATGCAACATCAAGGAGAGATGCAGGAAGTTTTCTGCAATGTTGCATTTTCAGGACTATGAAGATAATTTTAACATCTGCTTTTGGGTTTCAGTATCCATTTGTACTTCATGTTTAATATAAAAAACCCAACACTGACAGTACAGAGCATTGTAGAAGGTAGAAGTTGTGCTTGGTGAAAAGGAGATTGTGAAAAAGAAACCTTCCAAAAAGTGAGAATCTTCCATCTTTCTATATTTGGTTGACACTTGTAAAACTTCAATCAAGCTTTTCAACAGTTTTTAAGAAATTATTTTCAACTTTCATAGTGTTGTGGTTTAACCCCAGCCAGCAGCCAAACCCCATGCAGCCACTTGCTCATCAGGATCAGGGAGAGGAAGGGTAAAGGGTGGAAAACTCAGGTTAAGATGTAGAAAATTTAATAGAGAAAGGCAAAGCACACACAAGCAAAGCAAAACAAGGGATTCATTCAGCCCTTCCCTTGGGCAGGCAGGTGTTCAGCCATTCCAGGACAGCACGGCCCTACCACATGTAACAGTGACTTGGGAAAACAATTACTCCTAAAATCTCCCCTTCCTCTTTCTTCCTCCTGCTTTATATACTGAACACGATGCCATGTCATCTGGCACATTCCTTTGATCACTTGGGGTCATCTGTCCTATCTGTGTCTCCTCCCAGCTCCCCATGCACTCATAATCTCCTCACCAGGGTGTCAGTATGGAAACATCTCTGTGTTATCAACTGTTGTTATCAACACTGTGTTCAACACAAATCCAAAACACGACCCCATACCAGCCACCACAAAGAAAATTAACTCTACCCCAGCAAAAAGCAGCACACATAAATATTTTCTTCTTTTTTCAGATCCTTTTTCTGTGAAGAAAATGGTAATATGAATGTGTGGGGTTTTTTGTAGACTGCTTAAAAATAGTTCATGTGAAACTCAGTCCCTTACTTACTGATGTCTGTGGAGAGGGAGGCATCTCCCATATCCCTCTTTGTTCTGGCCATGGTGTTGTAGGTTTGGGTGTACTTCAGGGGAGATCCTTCCTGTTTGAAGTACACAGAATACTGTATCATAGTTAAATGCAAGTGAAATAAACTTTAAAAACATACAAACACCCACCTGGAAAACTATACTCTGTGTGTAGCTCCTTCATGAGTGTTTAGATCATGACTTGTTTCAGCATTCAACATAACTTAAATGATTTTATTTGTACTTTTTCCTTCACCTCTCACATACTGTTAGCATATAAACTGGTAAACTAATGCTTCAATGGACTTAGCTGTCAATACTATTCTCCACACTAAAGTCCTTTGAAATTATTGTAATGGTTAATGGTTTTTAGTGAGAAAGTGAACTCTGATGGTAGGAAATAATGACAGAGCCTTGGGCATTTCACTATGCCAGCTGCTTCTTATCTGAGAGATAAAGGCTCTTTCCTCTGAAAGAAATGGCTTATAAGAAATAGCTATTAAAAAACTGATTATGCACTTTCTAGTTTTGTGTTGATGAAATGTTATTTTGCAAATTCTGCTCTGTTTTGGGAAAGTTTGTTGTTAATGTTTCCACTTTAATATGCAAGTGGTCAAAAGTAATTTTACTTTCAAGGAATTGAGAAATAGTCTGGCTTGACACATCTCACATCTCTTGAGCTGATAAAATTCAATGCCTGTCTTGTTTCTTCCATGAGAAACCAAAGAGAGAACATGAAGTCCTCATGTGCGTTTCTCCAGTGTGGTAAAATCTAGAAGACAAAGGCCTTGCTAAATGTTGACGTATCATCAAATGTCTCTTTGGAAGAACATTAGGCTTGTGATCTACCTTAAAATTAAGATGGAGAGTAAAGTGGATAGCTTTGGGAGTTCTCTCCTTCCCTGTTCAAATGTTCATTGTGGCTAGTTTTCCAATTGAGAATAAAAACCAGAAAAATAGACTCTCCTTCTTCCCTTGCAGGGAACTTTCTTGAATTCAGAGATGAATTAGATGGACAGGTTCATATTCTTTTTACCATTTCAAATTGCAAGTTGTTTTTGTTCCATTCTTGCACAGCAATAGAGAAGGGATCTTGGCTTAGCAGACTGCAGCAGACTTGTATTGCTGCACTGCTGAGGAGGAATATTCTTACAGGAGCTTGAGTCTAGGAAAAGATTTGCAAAATAGGATTTAAGCTGCCTTGACAAATCTCCTGCATGCCCTGTGCATTGGTGTGTACTTCTGTCACATGCTGTTCTTCTGCTACAAGTAAAACATTTCCTACTTTAACCTTTCCTATGAATGTGGGCTATTTTTATCGTGCAGTGTATGCTGTCATTTCCTCACCGTGATACTTTTTGCATATAGGGCAGCTGATACTTTTATGTGGTTGCCACATACTGCCAGAGTGGGACTCTTCTAATACAACCTTTTTTCTTTATTTATTTTTACCAAAGACAAATTTTCATTTTTTTAATTGACATCTGGAAAATTGGGTAAAATTCAGTACATTTTTGGGGTCTTGCAGTAGGCTTGTATTTGCTAGGGCCCTGAAGACCCATGCATTAGCTATTCTTATATCTGCATCACTATTTCCAAACTAATGCTAAATCTGCCAAAACATTTGTAGGAATTTTTTTTTTCCAGTGGAAGAGGTCTTGCTTGTTTAAGACAGGTTGTCTCCTCTGTCGTGGCTGTAAAGTGGAACAGTATTCCAAAAGCGCAGGTTTTCCTCCCTTGCTTAGTTTTAACAAGGCTACTGGGGAGTGACAGAACCATTTAAGATGACTTAAGTTATCTTTTGCTTTGTCCAGGCAACATGACTCCTTAGTGCGTTTGTGCATGGCTGCTTTCCTTTCTGGGACAGTGAATTCACTTTACCTTCTCCTTTGCTGTTACAGGGCAGGGAAGACATAAGGATGTCTTCTGCTTTGCAGGCTGTTTCTAGTCCCTGTAAGACAATGCTGCAGTCACATCTAAGACATCTAAAACCACAGAAAACACTGTTTCTCTAGCCTTTAGTGGCCTTCTCCGGATCTGAAAAGTGTGAAAGTGTCTCTAGAGAGCAATTAAGACATTTTTCTTTTTATTTCATTTCCTCTTAATTTCTATTTATTATTGATTATTTGCTTTTATTCTTTTCCTGTATTTTTCATATTTCCATTCCCATCCCTTCTGAAATTCCTCTTTGTGTCTTAAATGAATAGTTATTTAAACAAGGGGAAAAAAGTGAAATAAGCAGTGTTTGTTGAGGCTGACTGTACTTAAGTACAATGTGAGGTTTTGAAAAAGGAAAATATTCCTTTATCTTCAAGAAGAGTTAAGCCTTCCAGAAGATACTCACCATAACAAAAGGTTTAATGCATTTTCATTTCCTATTGCTGTTGTACATCACATGGAACTGTGTGGTATCCAGAGATGTGTTTCTGGAACACTGCAGCACACAGGTAAATACTGCAGTCAGAATAGCTTGAGGAGCATCATGATTGTTAAACTAATTACCATATGAAATTTATACAAGCCTATGAACTGGTAAGCCTAAGAAAATGGTACCGTTAAATGTTCTGGTAGCTTACTAATTGCTGTTATAATTTACAATTTTAAAAAGTAATTATTGATTTCAGCTGGTATTGTCTTCCATTTTCTCTGAATTCTTTTTCCCCTTTTCTTCTGCCTTCCTTTTTCCTTCTGTAAAAGCATCATCCCTTCAAGGTTTTGGAAATTTAAAATCGACTATGTACATTGAGAATACACCAAGACCAAAATATTTTAAAACTAACTAGAATATTATAGACCTGCACTTTGCTCTGAATCAAAGTGCCTGAGAGGCAATGATTAAAAAATTTAAATATTTCCTATTGCTGTGATCCCTTCCTCTTTTTCCTTTCCCTTTTCCCCTTTCCCCTTTCTTTTTCCCCCACTTTCTTTTCTTTTGAAAGGATTGTATGTCAGGCCTGGTATTGATACCATTGCTCAGAGTTAGGTACTATAATCTTATTAAACACTGTGAACAGAAATATTTCTACTGTCTTTAGTTTCATTAACTAAATGGTTTCTTCAATTTTGTAGTATTATCATTGCTTACTGATTATCATTTGCCAAAAAAGACCACCCCAAAATAATATATAATAATGCTCTTGTTTGAATCTCTGCCTAAACTCACCATTAGTAAGACACTTTAAGGTCACCCCTTCAGAGTGGCTTAAGCAATGGTTTTTTGCTACTGTTCTCATGCTTTTTCTTTATAATGTTTCAGCTCATCCACCATATACCATGTGCTTTAGAGTGAAATTCTATCCACACGAGCCCTTGAAGATTAAAGAAGAACTCACCAGGTATTTTTTGTTTGTTTGTTTGGGTTTTGTTGTTTGTTTTGTTTTAGTTCTTCTTTTAGTCTGTGCATTGCTAACAAGTTCAAGAAAAGGCAGATTGTTGTCTAGGGTAGGGTTCTCACTGTTTCTGATAAAATTAGCATAGGCATTTGCAATACTGACCATCTTCTTTTTACTGCGATACCTATAGATTTTTTTAAAGCAGTTTAAAGGAACGCTATACAAGAACTTTCAAAAAATGAAGCAGTGGTCAAATGACTGGGCAAAACTTACCTTGCTCTTTCCCTGGCAGGGATAAATTCCCTCCCCTCCCCTCCCCT